GGTTTGTTTCATAATGTCTTTTCACATTATATTTTTGTCTTTTGTTTGCAATGCAGTGTGGTTGCAAATCAAACAGTTTATCTTTCCATTAACAGTGGTACAGAAAAAGTACTGTAATTCCCACTTTTCTTGAAACGCACATCCTTCTTCAGATAATTTTCTCTCTTTATGAGATGGAGTAGAATTTGACATTTTTAAGGCAAAATGTTACAAGATTATGAACGTTTTTACTTTACATTTGTTCTTATTTAGTTGTCAAGAATGACCACATGATTAACCAGAAATTAAAAATAGTCACTGACATTTGAAAACAAAAAAACATTGAGATAGAATAAACAATCTAATCATACCAATTGAAAAAATCTTACCATTTTTAATAATTTGCATTACCAGCATAGACAAAATTCTTGATATACCACATCTATAGAAAACTTTGTGAGGGCCGCCAAGATGCATGTAAAGAGCTGCAAGCTTCCTGTGGGCTGCCAGTTTGACACACCTAGTCTAGATTATAGACAAAAACTACTTCAACATTGCTTTCCCCTGACTCACAACTCTCCACAAGGGATTTGCAATCAATGGTATTTCAGCAAGATGGTAGACTCAGATGCCATCAAAGTAAGAAATTTTCTCTCTCTCACTTTTTCTCATGCTCTTTCTCTCTCAGGCTTTCTCTCTCTCTCTCTCTCTCTTTCATTCTCCCTCTCTCTCTCTCAGTCAACTGTGGTTTTGAATTGCTACACCATCCCTCTTACTCACCAGACTTAGCCCATCAGACTTTTTCCATCTGCCTAAACTCGAAATACAGAAGCCATCACCTTGCCATCAAACGCTGCCTACTTGAACTTCTTCTGGGCTGGAAAATTTGAGTGTTTCCACTGTTTGCTTTGAATCTTTGATTCAAGTTCAAAGTAGTGAATCCAGGTTTCATTTTGAATGACCAATCCGTGGTAAAAATTCTCATGGTCAGCATAGAAGCCAGTCAAAAGTGTTCTGGAAATGTCAACCCTTTTCACCTTCTTTTCTAGTGACAGCATTTTTGGGACCCATTTTGCAGACAGCTTACTCATCCCCTAGATCTCAGTTAAAATAAGTATGGACCAAACCAGAACTAATGCCTATGGACTTTGCTATCTGTTCTGATGCCAAAGCAGAAAATGGGATTTGCTATTTGCCAGACACCCATTACTCATCCCCTAGATCTCAGTTAAAATAGTATGAACCAAACCAGAACTAATGCCTATGGACTTTGCTATCTGCTCTGGTGCCAGCATTCTGGGACATTTTAAGAACACTCATCCCCTAGATCTCATGTTAAAATTATGGAACCAAACCAGAACTAATGCCTATGGACTTTGCTATCTGCTCTGGTCCCAGCATTCATGGGACCCATTTTGTAGAATTTTGTTCAGATCTCAGTTAAAATAGTAAACCAAACCAGAATTCTATGGATGACCTGAATGGGACCCATTTGTAGACAGATTACTCATCACAGTTAAAGTCCTGAACCAAACCAGAACTAATGCCTATGGACTTTGCTATATCTGCTCTGGTGCAGCATTTGGGACCCATTTTGTAGACAGATTACTCATCCCCTAGATCTCAGTTAAAATAGTATAAAACCAGAACTAATTTACCTATGGACATTGCTATCTGCTCTGGTAGCCAGCAAAAATGGGACCCATTTTGCAGACAGATTCCTCATATAGATTTATTGGAAATAGTATTAAACCAGATCTCTAGTTAAAACAGTATGGACCATTTTAGACAGAACTAATCCCTCTCAGTTAAAATTTGGGTTTGCCTATGGTTTTGTCCATCTCTGGTGCCAGCATTCTTGATTTTTGTAGACAATTACTCATCCCCATTCCTTTGAACTACAACCTATGTGATCCTAAAATGGTCTCTGGTGCCAGCATTCTGGGACCCATTTTGTAGACAGCTTACTCATCCCTAGATCTCAGTTAAAATATCTGAATAATACCATATATTTTTTCTATGGGACCCATTTTTCTGATTACTCATAAGTAACCCTAACCCTTTTATTTTTCTGGTTTTTTTTGTAGACAGTGTTAAGTAACCCTAACCCTAACCCTAACCCTAACCCTGCCTATGGACCAGCCAAAAATGTTCATCCCCTAGATCTCAGGCTAACCCTTCTTTGGATTCATGGGACCTGACAGAACTATTTGCTCTGGTACCCCACATTCATGGGACCCATTTTGTAGACAGATTACTCATCCCTAGATCTCAGTTAAAATTAAAACAGTATGGACATTCAAAGACCCAGAATGGATCTTTTGTCAGTTAAATAGTAATAAGATCAGCTACTTGGTTATGGGACCCATATTACTCATCCCCTAGATCTCAGTTAAAAAAGATAACCCCTGCCTATGGACCAAGCCATCAGAATGGGACCCATTTTGTAGACAGATTACTCATCCCCTAGATCTCAGTTAAAAAGATTCTTAACCCTAACCCCTGCCTTGGACCAAGCCAATGATGGGACCCATAGATAAATAGATCTTTTTAACCCTAACTAATGCCTGAGATAGAGCATTCAGACCCATTTTGTAGACAGATTAATGCCTATGGAAATAGATAAATATCCATATGGACCAAGCCAAGCATTCATGGGACCCATTTTGTGACAGATAGAGAGTTAAATAGATGGAGATAAATGAAGAAAATGCAATATAAATTATATAGATATGAAAAGAATGATATATATTATACCATTCATGGGACCCATTTACATTACTCATAGTTCAAACAATATATATATATATATATATATATATATATATATATATTGGAGCATTCATGGGACCCATTTTGTAGACATATCTAAATAAAAATAAAATGCCTATGGACTTTTTATCTGATGCCAGCATTCATGGGACCCATTTTGTAGACAGATTACTCATCCCCTAGATCTCAGTTAAAATAGTATGGACCAAACCAGAACTAATATTATATGGACTTTGCTATCTGCTCTGGTGCCAGATTAATGGGACCCATTTGTAGACAGATTACTCAATCCCTAGATTCAGTTAAAATAGTATGAACCAAACCAGAACTAATTATGGACTTTGCTATTAAAAAAACAGACCATCCCCTAGATCTCAGTTAAAATAGTATGAACCAAACCAGAACTTGCCTATGCTCTGATATGGGACCAAGACAGATAGATAGGATAAATCAGATAGATAAAAAAATTTTTAGAGATAGGTAGATCTCAGTTAAAATAGATATTTATAATCTCTGATGGCGTTGCTATCTGCTCTGGTATCAGTCTATTCAGACAGATAGATAGATAGATCTAATGTAATAGATAGATTATATGAAGACAGAACCAGAGATAGGTAGATACTATCTGATCTGATTGAGATAGATAGATAGATCACAGAAAAAATCTAGAGACAAACCAGAACTAATTATGGTTTTTGGGTTTTCTGTTTGTTCTTTCTGGGACCCATTTGTAAAAATAGATTAGCATTCTAGTTTTTAGAAAGTAGCCAGGTCCCTCTTTAAAATATGTTAACCCTTTAAATAGATGGGACCCATTTTAAAATGGTCAGATATAAGATACTCAGTTAAAAGAGAGATGCTATAGAAAAAGATAAATAAATAGATAGATAGATATGAAGAAAATATGATATAAAATATATAGATATGAAAAGATTATGATATATATATATACATACATATATAATATATATATATATTGATAGATAAATAGATACATACATAATATATATATATATAATAGATAGATAGATAGATAGATAGATAGATAGATAGATAGATAGATAGATGTAAAAAGAATGAGATACTTTTGTTTGGTTATTCATGTTTTTTAGTTAAATATTATTTCCAAGCCTCACAGGTGTTTGAAATTCTTTCACCAATTAACATTTGAATATTCAAAGTTCTCTTATCACTGTCCAGCAATTGACCTAATTATGAATCATTAATTTTAATTAATGACTGAATCATTAAAGAAGACTAGGGAAGAAATGGACACCCAGTATTTGAAATTAGGTGAGAAGCACGTTATGAAAAATATCAATTCTTAGGGTTAATGGAAATGTCATGAGAACAAAAGCTTAACATAAAACAGCTGCCATCTTGTTTTTAGTCTGTTCATATCTATCTATGTCAATCTTTTCATATCTATTTATCTAATTCATTTTGTATATCTCTTTCTATCTATCTCATTCTTTTTTTATCTATCTATCTATCTATCTATCTATCTATCTATCTATCTATCTATCTATCTATCTATCTGTTTCATTCTCTTCATGTCTGTCTATCTATCAATCTGTGTTAATCTTTTCATCTATTTATTTATATAACTCTCTTTGTATCTCTCATTGTATTTATATCATTCTCTTCATATGTATGTATGTATTTATCTATATATCTATATAATTCTCTTGGTGTCTATCTATTTCATTCTTTTGTATCTATCTATCTATCTATCTATCTATCTATCTATCTATCTATCTATCTATCTCATTCTCTTCATGTTTATCTGTTTATCTATCTATCTATCTATCTATCTATCTATCTATCTATCTATTTTATTCTCTTTATATATATATGTCTATTTCATTCTGTTCGTATCTATCTATCTATTCCCTTCATATATATATATATATATCTATTTATTTCATTCTCTTTGTAGCTATCTATCTATTCCTTTTATATATATCTATATATTACATTTTCTTTGTATCTATATCGCTATCTACCAATTTTATTCTTTTTGTATGTATCTCTCTATTTCATTCTCTTCATATCTATCGATCTATCTATCGATCTATCTATCTCATTTTCTTACTACCTATCTATATATCTATTTCATTTATTTTGTATGTATATATATATCTAGTTCATTCTCTTTGTATCTATCTATGTCAATCTTTTCATATCTATTTATCAATATAATTGTCTTTGTATCTCTTCTATCTATATCATTCTCTTCATATGTATGTATGTATGTATCTATCTATCTATCTATCTATCTATCTATCTATCTATCTAGTCCCTTCATATATATCTATTTCATTCTCTTTGTATCTATATCTACGAATTTTATTCTCTCTCTCTTTCTCTCGCTATCTATCTATCTATCTATCTATCTATCTATCTATCTATCTATCTATCTATCTCCTTCTCTTTGTATTTATCTATCTAGTTCATTCACTTTGTATCTATCTATTTCATTGTCTGTATCTTTCTATCTATCTATCTATCTATCTATCTATCTATCTATCTATCTATCTATCTATCTATTTCACTCTCTTCATATCTATCTATTTTTGTTCTCTTCATATATATCTATATATCTATTTCATTCTCCTCAAATCTCTATCTATCTATTTCATTCTCTTCATATCTATGTATCTAGCTATCTGTCTATTTCATTCTCTTTGTATCTATCTATTCCATTCTCTTTCAGATCTGTCTATCCATCTATCGATTTATTTCTCTTTATATCTATATATCTATGAACTTCATTCTATTTGAGTCTGTCTTTTGTCTTTATATATATCTGTCTATCTATCGATTTCATTATCTTTCTATCTGTCTATCTATAAATTTAATTCTCTTTGTATCTATCTTTTCTCTTTGTATCTATCTATTTCATTCTCTTCATATCTATTTATTTCATTCTCTTTATATCTATCTATCTCTCTATTCTCTTCATATCTATCTATATATATATCATTTTCTTCATATATATTTATCTGTCAATTTCATTCTTTCCATATCTATCTATCGTCATTACTGAATGAGAATGTTGAGTTGGCAGTAAGGTTCTTGAAACTTGGCAAGTCACCCAGTGTGAATAATATTCCCTCTGAGCCAACAAAACATGGAGGTGAAGAAACCATCAAAATTATAACAACACTATTCCAGAAGATTTGGGAACAAAAAAAGTGGCCTAACAAGTGAACACAGTCATTGGTAATACCCCTGTCAAAAGAAGGAAGCCTCAGGCAGTGTTGAAATTATAGGGTGATAAGCCTGATCAGTCATCCTAGTAAAGTCCTGCTCCGTATCATTTTGAATTGTTTGAAATCCAAGGCTGAAAAAATGCTATCAGAGGAACAAGCAGGTTTTAGAGTCAGACAAAGTACCATGGAACAGGTCGTCAATTGTAGATTCCTCATAGAGAAACACCTGCAACATCAGAGGGACGTATTCCACAATTTTGTTGATTTCAAAAAAGCATTTGACCATGTATGGCATGACAGTCTTTGGCAAATCCTTAGGGAATTTAATGTAGATGAAGGAATTATCCAAATCATCCAGGCCATATATAAAGATGCCATCAGTGCAGTTCTTCTGGGAAAACAAATAGGAGGATTCTTCTGAACAACTGTCGGTGTGAGACAGGGATGCCTACTTTCATCCACAGTGTTCAACATTTTTCTAGAGAGTGTGGGGTACAGCGTACCCGGATTAAAAGGAGAATTTAATACGGGATACCCTGCCCACAAAATACAACGCAAATTTCAAGAAAAGACAACACAATAAGGAATGTTTGTAGAAAATAGAACATTGTATATTTAATGTCATTCATGCAGAATAAACAAATTTGTTTATTTTTATATCTTGTGAATAGAGTAAAAAGATTAATGCTTTAGTTCGTTTAAGCAAATGTGATTTGAACAAAAAAATGTCTATGTGTTCGCTGTCTTTCAACAGAGTAGTAGAGTAATGTCTGTTTCTTTTGTTTTTGTGTATCTGCCGAGTAGGTGGAAAGGAAAAAGGGGCGATCAATTTGAGTTGAAAAAGAGAGTGTGAATGAGAAATAAAAGATAAGAGGAAAATGTACTTATTGGGTTGAATTGTTTTGGAGTCAGTTGTAAATTTGTTGTTGTTGTTGTTTTCCTTTCCTACCCCACTTTCTACTCTTAGTGTCTGGTTGAGTCAGTGACGGACCTGACTGTCAGTCTTCTGTCTTCTATGATGTCTGCATCCTTCTGACTGGTGATTGACTTGAGTCTCTCTATTTATAGCTGACTTTTTTTTCACACTGGATCGTTATCTTTTTTTGAGTTTAGCAAATCGCCTCCTTTCATTGGTCAGAAAATTAATTTCACACCTTATTGCAAAATCTGTTTTTAGTCATTTTGATCTGATTTTGCGGGTGTGCAAATCTACTTTGTGTTTTTCACTTATTTGTTGGAATGATATAGGATTTGTAACCTATAAGAGAATCATGCAAGAAACCTTGAATGACCATGATCCTTCAATCTCTATTGGTGGAAGATCCATCTGTAACCTACATTTTACAGATGACATTAACCTCATAGCAAGTAGTAACAGTGGGCTTCAGGACTTGACCAACAAACTTTTTGAAAGAGCAGGAGCATATGGAATTGAGGTTAGCTCCAATAAATCTAAAGTTATGATGAATAGCACAAACAGTTATGGTGAATAGTACAAGCAGCTGTCAACATACCATGAGCAAGAATTCACGGGAGGAACTCAATACATAACCCATCCATGCACCCAGGCCACAATGGCCAGGGGTATGCATTTCTCCTCCTCCTTGTCCTCCACCATGAGTTTGGGGAGAAGTCACTGTGTTATATGATAAGGAAGCGTAAACATGAAGTGCTCCAGCAAAGTACTAAAAATCTCAAGAAAATAAATTCAGAGGTGTTATGAAGTATAAAAATCATAAAAATGTTCACAAAGAGTATTCAGACTAAGTTCGTAAAACTGAAACAACTAGAAAGTCATTAGGTTTATTATGAATCTAAATGAACTTGTTATAAGTAAGAGAGTGTGTGATTTATTTTTTTAGATCAGTCCATCATTTTTAATTTACGACTTCCTTTGGAAGTCATATTTTTGACCTTTTGGGTTTATTTGTATAATCTTTGACAATTTACTTTTTTGTTTAGTTAAAGGTCTCTCACCCAAGGCTACTAAAGGCATTGGTACCTTGAATTGGTCATAAACAACTTTCATTGGTTCTTCCTTTTAGTTATTCATATCATCTAAGCATCTTTTCCTTATCTGGTTGTGATGTCTCTTAACTGATTTTTTTGGGTCTTTAATCATGTACATCAATCTCCCAATGCGTTTATCTATGACATTAGCATTCCAGAACTCTTTACTGCACCTATATTCTTTGAAAAAATCTTTTCTCTTGGTGTATAGGATTTTGTAATTGTGTTTTTTCTTACTTCTTTTTTCTTTTCCTTTGGTAACAGCTTGTCGAATACCAATTTTATTTTCCTTAATTCTACTGGTGACAACTCCAAATTTGTACTTGGGTTTGGTGTCACCTGATATACTCTTAAGAATTGTAGTATCTCATCAACAGATTAATTTCCGTCTGACTTTTTCAATGCTCACTTCAAAATCTTTCTGCTTGGCCATTAGATCATGGGTGACATAGTGTGGTAGTCAGATGTACAATTGAAAAAAGATTACAAAAATCTTTGAACTCTTTTGCCATGGATTGCATGCTATTGTTTGACACAATTGTATCCAGAACACCAAATCTTGCGAAAGGTTCATGCAAAAATTTTATCTTACCACTACATGTAAGATTTTAAAATTTTATCACCTCTGGCTATTTCAAAAAACTGTCAGCCACAAATAGTGATGCCCCTTTATTGGACCTGCAAAATCAATATGCAGCCTTTGCCAAGATCTGTCTGTCTTTGGCCAATGGTTAAATGTCACCGGTGTTGCCTTTGCTGCCATTGCACAACCTCTGCATATTTTTACATCTTTCTCTATATCTTTGTCCATATTAGGCCAAAAAACATTGCTTCTCATTAAAGCTTTCATCTTCAATATACCAGGATGTCTGCTATTCTTATTTTTAATGCTTCGGTTATTAGCACACGTTCCCTCACAGATAGAAAAAATTTTCACCATTCTTTTTGTAATGTTGGCTTACAATTTGCTTTTTCTCTATGATATATATGACTATTTTTTAGCAATTTTATTTACCGGAGTTTTATTTGGGTGAATGGTGTAAAAATCTTTAAGTATCATTTTTTTTTAGCACTTTTGGTATTACCACACATTTTTCATCATCATTCTTTTTGTAATGTTGGCTACTAATTTGCTTCTTTTACTCTGTGATATAGTTGTCTATATTTTCTTTGATCCTGATTTCCTCAAGCATCACAGGTAATTCCTGTATGGTGTCGTATAGCATGCTTTTTATTTCCATTTCTATTCTTAACACTGCTATCATGGTTTCCTGTAATGGATCACATAGTTTGGGGATTAGCCTGGATAACACATCCGCATGATCCAACCTTTTTGATGGAAGAAACTTCATCTTAAAATTATAATTTAATAATATTGTCCTCTATCTCTCAAGTCTATTTGCGGTATGTGTAGGAATCCCTTTTTTGGAACCAAAAATAGCTAATAACGGTCAATGTCCTGTTTGAAGCGTAAAAACTCCTTCCATATATGAATCCATGGAAATTTTTTACTGCAAAAATAACGCCTAAAGCCTCTTTTTCAATTTGTCTGTATCCTTTTTCAGCTAGTAATAAGGGTCCTCTATACATGTGCAATTGCTTTTCCTTGACCGTTACTTTCTTTGTGTAATATTACAGCTACTAAGACTAAATTACTAGTGTCACTTGCAGCACTAATATCATTATTTGGATTGCAATGTGCCAGACTTAAGTCTGATGTTAATATTGTTTTAATTTCCTCAAAAGCACTCAGAGATTCTGTGCTCCAGTACATTTGGAATCTTTTTTAACAATTTTATTTAGAGAAGCTCTCAATACGTGCATATTTGGGATAAAATTACCATAGTAATTTGCTAGACAAAAGAATGCTTGTAGTAATGGCACATTTGTTAGGGGTGGCATGTTTCTTATTGCACTCGATCTTGATGTGTCAGGTCTTTTGCTTTTTGCATCTATAACTTGTCCCAAATACATAATGTTAGATAAAAAATTCACATTTATCTAAACTAAGTTTTAAGCCATATTTTAATTTTTCAAAAACTTCTTTAACATGTTGTTTTCAGCTTTCACTCTTAATTAAGATGTCATCAAGGTAGGCTATTGTGAAATCCTCATCATTCAATAACGTATACATGATTTGTTGGTAAATGCCTGGTGCGATTTTTATCCTGAATGATAGTCTGTTGAATCTGTGTAGACCCTTACATGTATTTATAGTTAAATACTTTGTGAATTCTTCATTGACAGGAACCTGGAGGTACACCTCAGACAAATCCAATTTTAAGAACACTCTGACACCATACAATTTTGTAAATATGTCTTCCGGTCTTTACAGAGGGTATTTGTATATTTCCAAACAATCATTGAATCCTGTAGAAAAACCTGTGCAGACTCTAATTTTATTATTATTCTTTTTTACATAAACAGTAGAGCTTGCCCACTCACCATAGTCTGTTTTGCTTAACATGCCAATTTTTTCTAAATGGTCCAACTAATGGAAGCTTCCACTGTAAAGGGTACTTTTCTTTTTGGTCTAAATATAGGCATCACATTATCTTTCAGTTTGAATGTTGCTTTAGCTCTGGTGCACCAGAACACCCTGCCAAGACCCTCAGAAAAAAATTTCAGGAAATTTTATTGTTAATTCATTTTTTAATTTTTCCACTCTGTTTGAATTAGCACTAACACTATAGCAGAATGAATTAATTGCTTGGTTGATAATGTTGAATGACTCAATCCAGTCCATACGGAACAGGTTCTGTGTTCGTTTCTGTTGTGGAGTGATTTCACAGTGGAGCCTTGTATTTGTACTAAGTCGGTCCTAAAATAGGTTTGATGTACAAAATGTTAGGAACTTGATATAATAGGTATAATGCAGAGTAATCTAGTTGTGGTCACTGATACTTTAGTATTCGACTAACCGTCGTCCGACATCGACTGACTCACTGAGCCACTGACCGACTCTCACATTACTCTTACTACTCCTACTTATTATAGGTGGGAGAGTCTATTAACTATAGAATAGGTGTGTTCCACTATAACAATTTCATAAAGAATCCTTGTAATTTTATAGTTTTACCCATAAATGTTACATTTGTGTAAAATTCTCCTTCAAAATTTAGTTTATTTCCTGTAATGCTATGTGCAATTCTTTTTGTGATCAATAAAGTTGGTCTGCTAATATTTTTTGAAGTGTGTTCATTTATCAATGTCAGATCTGAACTGGTATCCAATTGGAATTTCCCATTTTTTTTGTTCATCTGTACATTCACAACCTTTATCATTTTTATTCGTTTGTTTTCCATTGAAGTTGAGTTAACTGTCTTTTCCATTTTTGACCCCTTTTTACTTTGGGATTTTCTGCAATGTATAAGCTTGTGTTCTTTTTTGACATAATTAAAACATTCTTTTTTTCTAAATGGATATTCCTTATAATAATGAATCTGTCCACAGCCATAACAAAGATTTATTTTCTGGGTAACATTTTCTTTATGTTGTCTTTGCTTAACTCTCTGATCATTTGACATGATGCATTCTTCTATTTTTGCCATGTTGTGTCAAAGTTTTTCTATTCATTTACATTTTTCTGCAACCATTTGCAAACTGATTTTTGGATTTTGTTTTAATTTAGACAAAATTCTTATTCTGTTCTCAGCATTTTCTGGAGCCATTAGTCCTGGTAGAAAAATCAAGCAATTAAACATATCAAGAGTAAATTCTTTCAGTTTAAAATTCTCACACACTCTATTGACAATCCCAGGAAAAAGTTGAGTAATCTTCTCCACTTTTCTTTTTAAGGTTTAAACATTACCATCTTGTATTGAAAAGAGAACTTTTCTCACCCACCAAATTTTTTCCAGAATTAAGACAGTTTTCTTAAAAGACACTTCCTCATGCTTTCTTGGAAGTATGTAATTTACATACTTTTCATGTTCACTTGGACCAAATTTTCTGAGCAACAGGCATATTTTCTTTTCTTCCGACCTTGTAGCACAATCTTTTTGAAAGACCACTTCATAACAGCAAAAATACGCCTCAAAAGTTACATCCTTCTCAGGACTGTATTTAAATTCAACAATTGAATTTATTAATGAATCCTGAAAAAAAATTTTCATTGCCTTGCTCTTTTTACTTTTGTAACCCTAACAACTCAAACATTTATTTGAACTGTTCGTTTTGTTTCTCAAAGCACTCTCATGAAGTGAGTGAAGTAGATAGATAGATGGATAGATAAATATGAAGAGAATGAAATTAATAGAAATATATATAGATACAGAGAGAATGAAATCGATAGATACAAAGAGAATGAGATAGATAGATAAATACATACATATAAAGAGACTGAGAAAGATAGATAAAAAAGAATGGAAAAGATAGATACAAAGAGAATGAAACAGATGAATAGATATGAAAACATTGACATAAATAGATAGATATGAAAAATGTGTCATAGATAGATCGATAGATATGAAAAGATTGACAGATAGATATAAAGTGAATGAGAAATATAGATAGATAGATATGAAGAAAATGAGAAAGATAGATAGGTAGAGACAAAGATAATGAAAACATAGAGAAATACAAAGAGAATTAGATAGATAAATAGATACGAAAATATTGACATAGATAAATAGATACAAAGAGAATGAGAAAGATAAACAGATATGAAGAGAATGAAATTGCTAGAAAAATATATACAAAAAGAATGAAATAAATTGATAGACAGTTAAATACAAAGAGAATGAAATAGATAGCTAGAGAGATAGATAGGTATGAATACAATTAGATAGATAGATACGAAGAGGATGAAATAGATAGATATGAAAAAAATGCTTTCTATCTATATGATAGATAGAAAGAGAATGAAATAGATAGTTGATGACCATTCTCTTCCTTATCAATGTATCTATCAATTTCATTCTCTTTCTATCTATCTCTCAATTTCCTTCTGTTTCTATCTATGTATCTACCTATTTCATACACTTCATATTTATTTTATTCTCTTCATATCTATCAATTCTCTTCATATATATCTATTTCATTCTGCTTGTATCCATCTCTCTATTTATGAATGTAATTCTCTTTGTATCTACCTATTTATTCTCTTCATATCTATCTATCTATCTATCTATCTATCTATCTATCTATCTATCTATCTATCTTATTCTTTCTCTTTCTATCTATTCAGGACTCACAACAAGGATGATTGCACTGATAAGTGCTGAACATTGTTACTTCCATTTTAATAACAAGATATATATATATATAAATATATATATATATATATATATATATATATATATATGTATACATATGTTAATATATAATATATATATTTTAATATATAATATATATATGTATATACATATATTAATTATTTATTAAAAATTATAACATAAATATGTTATAAAATCACTACAAAAATAGCCATTTTGTTTCAACACTTCTGGTGTCTTATCAAGTGATGGTGCTGAATATATATATATATATATATATATATATATATATATATATATATATATATATATATAATAAAGAGCAGAAATATAACTTAGTGCAGATATGGTATTTAAAATATTTATAAAATATTAATGAACATTTTTGAAAGAAAATTGTAGCAGATATTGATCACAAAGTTGTTGGCAGCACTCAGAATAATGAGAGTTTATTAAACTTTTGGCAGCTTTCTGTTAATTTTCAAGGCTTTCTCTTATTTTTTAATTTTTTTCTTTGAAAGTAATTGCTCAAACTAAACAACACATCATTCATCATAAGTATTTTTTTTTTTATTGTTTTAATTATTTAAATGTTTTGAATATGTCTGTATAGTTATTAAAATATGATTATGATGGCTATTTTTATTCTGGGCGAGCGACTGGGTTTGTAAATAAAATGAACAGTTTTTTGTTTATCATATTCTAAGAGAAATACATAGCGTAAAGAGTAGGAATTATTATGCCCTGATAGAAATGGAAGTTGTTAGGTTGTGCCACTTGGCAGTCGTTGCTCAGAGAGGGGTGACTGGTAGTTGCTTAAGAAGGGCGAGTCTATTGTAGACCCGCCTTCACAACCAGGTTTTCACAGCCAAACAGAAAAAAAAACAAGAAAATTAGAAGCGAAGAGTTAAGCGAAGAAATCCCGGGCACTGTTGGGTAGCCTTACTGCTTCTGTTTACAACGGACTCCCTACTCCCCGACCCAATATAACTCATCAGATGACGGCGGGATAAAAAATACAAAAGATTTTTTTTTTTTTTTATAAATAATGATAATTTTTTTAATAATTAATCATTGCTCTGTTTTTTTGTCCTGTCGATGATTTTGTCCCACGGAAACGACATTTGCGGATTTTAATTCATAAAACTCTCCAAAAATCTTTTTGAAATTCGGCTTTTGCCCCAGTGACAGCAACCGGGTTTTATTTAACCACCCAAGTGGACTCCCGGGGGTACATGATGGGCTGCCTGTGTCCGAAATTTCGCCAAGCCCTCCACACAGAGAACAAAGCTGCAGAAGAAACTCCTAAGTTTTCTTGGTAAGTCGATTTTTCATTGATTGAATCTTTTTTAGCAAAACAAAACATTAAGATAATTTTATCTTTCTCGCAAGAAATCATCATGGTTTCTTGTTATGGGTGCACAATCGGGATATAAATTTGATTCCTTTTTATTCTATTTTAATTTTTTCGTTATGAACTTGTCACAGCTTTGTCGTTATGCATAAGCACCTGAATATGGATTTAGATTTTATATGTAAAAAACTAAACATGATTATTTTTAGGAACAGACTTTTCATTAGAAATGCATTTAAAATTATAGATCTTGACAGCAGTATTGTTGGTGAAGGCGAATTTAATTAGTTTATTTATTTTTCAATAAATTAAACAATCTAAGAAAGAAAGCATACAGTCATAAATGAGACTTAAATATTTTTTTCTCATTTAGAGAATTAGATGAATAATAGCTGAAATAGAAATACTAACGGATTTTACATTTTAGTAATAATAATGTTGGAATTTATTAGCAAGTATATACATGCAAGACTGGCCTTCCGTAAAAAATATATAGTCCCCCCCACCGTTTTTCTGTTATTCGATTTTTTTTATTTATATTTTCATATTTTTAATATTTATTTATATCGATAATTTTAATTGGTTTTAATTTCATGGCATCCTTTTTTTTTTTATTTTTTTTGCATGTACCATTAAGTTTTGATCCTGAAAATAAATTGACTTTTTTATAAATTGAATAAAATTTAAAAACAAACACGTGAACAATTTTTAATTTAATTTCTTTGTTAATTTTAATTAATTAATTTTTATTGGCTTATTTTTTATTAATCACCTTTTTGATTTATTTTAATATTTTTTAAATTATTTCTTATACAGAATTATATTGGAATTCCAATTATTATTTATTAAAAATGTATTTACAACAGTTTTTAAGTTTTTACTCTGATCTTTTTTTTTTTTTTTTTTTTTTTTTTTACTGACACTTTCAAAATAATCAACTCGATCATGACTTGGTCACGTGACCATACGGTCGAAAATCGTTCTGTTGAAAATCGAATCTTGGTGGGGTGAATGTGGGGGGGTATTTACTCTTTCTTAAATTGGGCACTTTTTGTGGGAATTTCGTCTTTTCTATTTCCAAGAGTGCTGTCAAAAATTTGAGGAAATTTTTTTTTTTTTTTTTTCCATGTGATAACAAAAAAATCCTAATATTTTTTTTTCCATATTCTTATGACCAATATTCTGTGAAAATACTGCTGTTAAAATTAAAAATAACAAGGAAGTGGTCTTCTTCATGAAATTGATAAAAAAAAAAAAAATCAACCTGAATTGTGTTTTTAGGCCTTAAACAGCTTCCGAAAATGAATTCCGCATTTTCTTCTTCTTAACGAATGCAGTCCATTATTTTACAAAAGTACTTTAGTTTCTGGAGATATTAAAAATCACGCCTTTTTAAACTCGATCAGTATTTCATAGTTTCAATAATGCTGTCAAGGTTCTTAAAAAAGACGTTTTGAAGATATGAGCTAAAAAATCAATCATATTTTTAATGATTTATTTTGAAACCAAAAATGCATTTTTTAGAAAAATTTTGGAGCATTTCATAAAATATTTGACAGCATTAATTAATTGCATTATGTTAGTTAGAATTTAACAAATTTTCTTAAGTTAAAATATGACAACCACTTTCACATTAACTAATTTTATATATGATCTTGTCTTGTTATTATTATGAGTAGCTGTGGTGTGGTATGTTAAGTGACCATGCTGTCTTCAACAGGCTTTTCCTCTTGCTATTTTTTTTCAGAATAGTTAATATGCCTTTTTATTTATTTTATTTGATTTCATGATTAAAAATATTAGTGAAATGTGCGAGAAAATTCTATATATTATTATTATTTAATAGCCGTCAATTTCCGCCTCCCCACGTGATTAGCTTGCTTGACCATTTTTGTCTGGTATTTTCGAAAAGAAAGAAAATATTTTATAATAACAGTTAATTAATTTAAAAAAAAAAAGGATTATTTAAGAGTTAAGCTCTGCGGTACATTTTTTTTTTCATCGCATGTTTTAAAAAAATATTAAATTCATCTTCCATCGTCTAGTCTCCGGGTTCGAACCTTAGAGACTACTAATGAAAAATAAATGTTGAAATTGTTAACTGGAAAACTCAGTTTGTTTATTTAAGATTGGGATTATAAAGTGAGAAGACACTTTTATTTATTTTATTTTAGCTTAGATGAAAATGCATCTGTTTAAGCGCGCGGATTAAGTAAAAAAAAGTAAATAAGTAAAAAAAAAAAGCAATCATCATAACAATGTTCTTTGTGTCTGTAAGGCTTTCTTTCTCATCTTGCGAGATCAGCATCTCTGCATTAATTTTATTTTCATGATGAATATCATAACTTTTAAAAGGGCATTGTTTTTTTTTTTGTTTTTTTTTTTTTAACCCTCCTTTAATTTTCTTTTTATGCACGATACACTCTCTGTTTCAAAATGGCTAGAAATAAACCATAACATTCTCTAACTAAATAAAATAAATACAAAATTCAAGGAATTTTATTAGTATTTCTGTCGTGTAAGTTTCGTTTAATGTCTGATACGAATACTAAATTTCTCAGACGCAAAATAATTGTTTATATTCAGTTCTGGACTCAGTCGAATGGCCGTGGGTGTTATATTTTTTTGTGAACTTTCTATAAATGTTTGATCTTCTTGCAAGGATGCAAGAGACCCTGCTACCATTTCGTGAATCGGACATTTCTTATCATTCGCTTCTCCTGTGTCTGTTTGTGTGTGTCCTAAGTTCAGCTGGATTCACTTCCTGTTTATGTTAGCAAACCCACCTTCATTTGAGGCTCATTTCTGCACTTGGTGACTACGGTGATACCCTTTTCAGGGCCAGATCTAGGCCTTAAGGACCCCCTGTGCTAAAAGAATTTAGGGTCCCCTTCATTATGCTACATCAAAAATCTAAAAAAAGATGCATCAAAATCTAAATGGGTCTCCTTGAAGGGGCTCCATCCCATTTGAAAGACCTACTCCACTAGGGACTCAAAAATTGTTTCAAATTAGTTCAAAGGAGACCCATTAACTCTGAAAATAAACAACTCTCCTTTGTTCTTATATCTTTATATATATATATATTTTTTTTTAATTTTATCAGAGCCTCAAAACAGAGCTTTTGGAGGCTTCTCTATTCTCTGGGCCCCTAGGCTGTAGCCCATATGTAAATCCGGCACTGCTTCTATGTCATCTCTTGAGGTGACATGGAGATAACACTTTTTTTGGTATCTCATAAACCCAGTACATATTGGGGGGGGGCATCACAGATCAACTACTCTTAGATGAAAGGTTCGTAGTGGATAATAAATTTAATTCAAACTTGTGATATATCCTGGTATGAACCATATACTACATTCTTTTCATCTTAATTTCAATTGCTTTTTATCATAACTACTGAAGTGGTTCAGAAAGCTTGTCGTAGCTTGTCAGCTGTATTCTCATTTTGGTCATAGAAATCAACAGTTGCAGAAGATCAAATGTAGCCTTATTCCTTATTTTCCCAGTACACCTGGCATAGTTATCTTTGTTTTCTTTACAGACACTGTTAGTAATATGGAATATTGTTTCGATATCTGGTCTGCTGCCTCAGTTTTAGAGTTTCTTCACAGAATCCAAAGAATCTGCAATGTTATTGGTCATGTTCCGGTATATCGGCTTCAATCACTTTGACACTACTGTAACATAGCTTCCCTGTGCATTTTTTATAAATATTTTCATATCTGTCGATATTTCCAAGATGAAGTATTGTAACTGTTTACATTATTATCATCAGTGGATAAAAGCATTGGTTGAGTGATCCAAAAAGTGACTTGACCCAAAGAGTTGTGAGTTCAATACCTGGCCACAGCAGAGGGAACAAAAACTTGGGGAGTTGAATTACTAAAGGGAATTAACTGAACCTGAGATATCCAAAAAGGGCATGGCATGTGAATTAGAACAATCTACCCCTGTGGACTAAATAAAAGGTTCGGTTTGAAATTCCAATGTATATTACCTGAAGAAGGTCAGAGTGTACAACGGCTGAAACGTAAATATGGCAATAAAAATATGGGCAACAGTCTAAACAATGTAAATATTTTCATGTTAATTCTTTTGATTAATTTTCTTTTTTAGTACCTAGACTTCATGAATTTAAGTACAGTACGAGATTGGCAACTAGCTGAAATTGCTACTTGTAACCGAAAAATCGTTGCTAATAAGTTTTTTTTTTTTTTTTTTTTTTTTTTTTTTTTCCACTTGTGCAACTCTCTTCTGGTTCCTTGCTTTTTTTGTCAATTATGATCTTTAAAATTTAAATGCAATGTCAATCATCATCTGTCTGATTGATTCCTGTTCTTTTATTGTTCTGATTCCTCAACTTTTTCTCAGTTTCTTTCACTCTTAGTAACCACTTGTGTCTTAGTGGCTCCATTGCCTTGCTTGAGGTGAGGTTATTAAAAAAAATACTGTCAAATTTTCCTTAATTCTGTTTTGGGTTTTAGGGAATTCGTTTTTTTTTTCTTTTTCAGATTTCTCTTTGCTTTATTATAATACTTAGTGAGAAAAGTGTAACAATATATAAATGTTATTAAAACAAGAAAATAAAAGGAAAATGAAAAATTTTACTCGTTGGAATATCCACTCATTGGATAAGTTGCTCTAGCTTGACAGGCTTTCATACCTTATACTTCAGCCCTTAATCTAACTTAATGAATTTCTGGGGACAACCCTTGCAAAGAATGCTACAATCCTAAATAAGAATTCAGTGAAAGTGGCAAACCCTACAGAAAAATAGCAGCACAAAATCATCTAGAGGTAAAAAGCTACCTTATCGGTTGGTCACTTTGTAATTATTAAATAAATTTTTTGAAAATAAGTTTAATTCGTATAATTTGACTTTCTGAAATGATAAACTGCTCTCCTCCATGCCTCCATCACTGTGTGTGAGAGGAAAAAGAAAGGATACTGCATGTGTTGCT